GAGGGAGGGCGGGCGGAGAGTAAAAAAAACATTGTAGCGATAGAGGAATGATTGCATCGTTCTGAGGGGGGGGAAGTATGTATGTGGGGGGGGAGGAGGTGGGGGGGGAGGGAGGGGGAGAGGGGCGGGACCGCCCCTGCCCTCCCCAAAAATACAGCCCGGTGGGAAAGGCCGGGAGGTGGGGGGGGGTACTAATGGAGAAAAAGGAAGCAGAATATAGAGACTTGAGCCCGATACAAATGCTTCTTCTTCTTCTTCTTCTTCTTCTTCTTCTTCTTCTTCTTCTTCTTCTTCTTCTTCTTCTTCTTCTTCTTCTTCTTCTTCTTCTTCTTCTTCTTCTTCTTCTCCTCCTCCTCCTCCTCCTCCTCCTCCTCCTCCTCCTCCTCCTCCTCCTCCTCCTCCTCCTCCTCCTCCTCCTCCTCCTCCTCCTCCTCCTCCTCCTCCTCCTCCTCCTCCCCCTCCTCCCCCCTTCCCCAACCTCCTCCTTCTCTTAGACCTTGCCTTGAACACAACATATAATTATTATGGACATTACCATAAGTTCAAAAATGAATAGTAAGTTCGTAACTGTTTTTTTTGGTACTTTTGTTTTATTTGAAATGACATTCCACAAAAACGTTCATTTCAAAACTGAGACAAATTTAATCGCGAGCCAGTGAAATGTAACTGCTCACTTCAACACCTCTAGACTTTTAAAAAATTCAAAAATAATTGAGAGATAAATCCAAAAATCCACGAACTTTTACTATCGAGTTTCCAATTAGAATAAGAAAGGAGAACCAATACTACGGTATTTCTTTAAGAAAATAAAAATAGTCCAAGGAATCAAGATATCTGTTCTAGCTCTGATGTCCTATTTCCCTGAAGTCTACCGCTATTTTTTCCAACAAAGTGGAGTTATGAGTGTCAGGTAAATTTTCCGTCTCATAGTCGTAAAGGTAGAAATGCTGTCCTGAAAACCTGTTTATTCTGATACTCCCCGATTAGTTAAATTTTCAATATTACGTGACCTTTATGTGTCATTCTTTCAACAGCAAGAAATCAAATCGTTCGTTAACCGAACTTATTCATTCATCTGACAAAATCTTGGCCGGCCTACTCTTCTAATAAAGTCTATCCACATAATGTTTCATCACCATGAATGAGGTATTTAGATGAATAGCAACAGTCAACAACCTACACAAGAAGTGTACAAATAGAAACATGATGACATGAACTGTACATGAAACATTATATTCATATGTACATTCTCTTATCAAAAGTAGCAAAAAACATTCCATCAAATTCTGGCGATGCAACAGTGACTGGGACCAATAAAGTTCGACAATCAACAGTGACTGGGACCAATAAAGTTCGACAATCAACAGTGACTGGGACCAATAAAGTTCGACAATCAACAGTGACTGGGACCAATAAAGTTCGACAATCAACAGTGACTGGGACCAATAAAGTTCGACAATCAACAGTGACTGGGACCAATAAAGTTCGACAATCAACAGTGACTGGGACCAATAAAGTTCGACAATCAACAGTGACTGGGACCAATAAAGTTCGACAATCAACAGTGACTGGGACCAATAAAGTTCGACAATCAACAGTGACTGGGACCAATAAAGTTCGACAATCAACAGTGACTGGGACCAATAAAGTTCGACAATCAACAGTGACTGGGACCAATAAAGTTCGACAATCAACAGTGACTGGGACCAATAAAGTTCGACAATCAACAGTGACTGGGACCAATAAAGTTCGACAATCAACAGTGACTGGGACCAATAAAGTTCGACAATCAACAGAGAATGTAAAATGTCTGCAGTAACAATATTTAAGTTAATTACATTCACGTGTGCACGTACCATCATAAAACACTTAAGATAGATTAATAATTAATAATAGTCTTCCCTGACGTCGATACAGTTTTCTTTTTTCTCTCATATTATGTGACTTCTATCAGAACAGATGTAACGAGGTGCATCATTAGATTTGCCCAACAAACGCGCAGACACCTACACACGACATGCACGCTCATACGCACTCACATAAAAATATAAAAATATACACACACGCACACATATAAATATACACTCTTACACTAATATTATAGACGCACATACCCACAAACACTCACACGCACCTGCACAAACACTCACCACATACACATACATACTTACACAACTTTCTCTCTCAGACACAAATACACACACACACACACACACACACACACACATACACACATACACACACACAGAGCGAGAGAGAGAGAGAGAGAGAGAGAGAGAGAAAGAGAGAGAGAGAGAAGCACACACACACATAAAAAAATAAGAACCACAACTAAACAAAACAAAACAAACGCGAGCGGGTAGGCTAGACAAATAAAATAAAGAAATGCACGCCATATCTGTCCCAGATGGCATGGCATAAAAAAGATTCCTCTGTACGAACCAAACAAAGTGAAGTTGAACTATGCAACTTACTTACGAGGTGCTTGGGAACTGAATACAGAAAACGTGAATAGTTTTGGAAAATGAAATATTTGCTCAACTGTGTCACTATCTCTCACTCTTGGGTGTCTTTGGTTCTTTTTAAAAAATATATCTCCTTTTTTTTCTTTCAAAACCAATTTGTTCTGCTTCAATAATCTACATCTAGTAGTACTTTCTATTTCTACGATCCGACCATAGGGTTACCCCGACCCAGTTGATAAAAACCTTTCTTCCATATCCGATCCATCTTTTCATCTCGTATTTCTCCCTCCTTTCCATAATTCTAATTGTCTCTCTCTTTGGTCATTGTCATAATTTTTAATTTGTACCGTACCCGAGATTTCTGCAGAATTGAACCATAATACATGTAGGCCTACACGAAAATAAATAACGTTATCTCGCACAGGCCAAACAAAAACTACAAGTATTAACGATTCTCTTACTTACAGCGATTAGTCTGTAATCACGTTTCTTATATAACATATATCGACTGATCAGTGTGAGACTCTGCCAGGCGTCACTTTGCGAAATGGTGTATGGCGGAGTTTTACAGTATACTGCCCATATGTATTATATATAT